GTTTTTTATTATGAATAACGTAATAACCTGCAATAACTCATATATTTAAATCGAAAGACTTTCATTGACATTTTAAGTTTAACATCCTAAAACACTTACCGGTAAATTCTATATAATATTTTTTACTCAAAACATGCATTCAATTTAAAATATATTTGAAGGAATAGATAGAAAATATTGCATTTTATTATCTTCTTCTTCATTTCTAGTTTTATTTTTTTTTTGTTTTTTATTCAAACTTTGATTAGTCGTTTATTGAAAATGAGGCTAAGAACTAGTTTTTTTTTCTATTTATTACTAGTCATATACATATGTATTATATTTGTATGTATAAATTTCTTAATAGATTTGTGTACATTGTGTAGATTTATAAGAAGTTCAATGATAATGTAATGATGATTGCATGAATATATTTATGCAAAAATTGAATAAAATTCTAAATATGTAGCCTATATACATAAAATATAAATATAAAATAAGAAAAAAACTTACTTTATTCTGATATGATATATGTGTATATGTCGTTACGTTTAGTTGAGCCCGCTCTTATTAAATCAGACTATTAAAAATGAAAAATAATAAAAAAGAAATGGCATGCGGAAGAGATATTAAGTTTTTTTTCTTATTTTATTATTGTTTTTTTTTTTTTTTAGTTTTTGCTTTAATTTTAATGTCTCATAGTACATTTGATAATATTTTAAGATTTTACTACTTGTTTTGATCGCTTTTGAAGATCATTTCTAGGAGACTGGCTAGCCAATTTCAATTATTATTATAAGAATTTTTTAAGATCAGTTTATAGTTAATATTATATGTTAGAACTTGCAAATAAATTGGAATATTAAATTGATGAAGAAATTGTAATAGTGCACTATACGCAAATTAAAATATAAGTATAGTTTATAATATATTTATTTGAGAAAAAAAAAAATAAATTGAATTTTTATTATATTTTCATTTATAAGATGCAAAATTTTATATATTTTGTCATCAATTAAATTGAATTGAATGAAAAAGACATTTTAAAAATGATTTTTTTATTTCCGACAAATTCATAAAATATATTTATTTTTCTAAATATAAATATATTATAATGTACATATATATAAGGATTTTATCTACAACTTTTTAACAAGTTTTCGAATTTAAAATATAGGCATGATAGTTATTTAGTTTTAGATTTCATATAATGTGCTTTTTTTAAATTTACAATAAAAAATTGTACTATAAAAAATGCATTATATTAAATTGAATTCATTAAATTTTTTAATCATAAAATCATTAATTTATTTATGAATATACTTTAAACACCACTTAAATAAAATCAATATTTAATTGTTGTTCATTGCCATTGCAAAATTAATATAAAATTTTATAAGATTTTTAAATAAATAAAAATGTATTTTTTACAAATATAATTTCTTTTTCGTTACTTATTTTAAATTTCAATATCAGAAAATTGAGGCTATTTTTTTTTTATGTACACATATTGCCTAGAAAATTAAAAACAAATTGTAGAAAAAACCCTAAAGAAGACGAATAATTTGTCTAATAGACGTTTAAAAAAGAAATTTAGAGAAATTTTAAAGGTACCCTAAACAAATAAAAAAATAATACTTTATTAAAACATTTTTCGACCGGTGCCGATATTGGTATAGTGTTTGTAATTGTGAGTGAATAATTATAATACGAGCCTTATGTTATTTGAGCTCTTTTTAGGAACGAAAACATTGATAAATTTAAAGAAACATAATTAATATATAGCTTATTGCGATTTATACCAATTATTTTCTGCTGCATTAAGTAGATTCTTTTTCACATTAATAACATTTGCAGAAAGAATTTTTTTAGTTACTACCAAAAATATTAAAATTAACAAGTTTAGGTAATATTACATAAATACCTTGTATGTTTAATGTTACGTAAATTAACATACGTCATACACATAAACTTCCTCAAATTATATTTATTATACTTAAATTATTATTAAGTATATTAGATTCTTCCACTTTTAAAACAAGGTTAATTGAAGATCAAGGCTACAGTTTTTATTTTTGATAATACATACTTTAATATAATGTTTTATATGCCTACATATATGTATATATTAATATATATTATAAAAATACTACATTTAATTTTCTTATAATTATTTCATATCAATTAAATATTTATTTTTGGTATGAATAAAAATTTTTTTGATAAGTTTTAATTATCGCTCATAGATTATAAACTTTTCTGTACTCTTAATTTACTTTCTGTTCTCTTACGCTAAAACCCTTTTAAAGATTATAATTGATAATTTTTCTTCCGGATTATTTTTTTTTTCTTATCATTTCTTACGTAGGTACATATATACATTCTTTATTATTTGTATATTACATTCATTAAAGTCATGTAGGTACTTATAATTACATATTATTTACATAAATAATTTTGATAAGTTTAAGAGTAAAGCAAAAAAGTCGTTCACCTTTTCTGTTAAATAACAAAATAATTATCATGTTGGTCTTATCAAATAAATAAATAAAAAATATAATTTTTTTTAGTTCATAAACATAATATTATTTTATATTTAATTTTATTAAATTGTTTCGAAAATATTTGTTTTTATTTATTTTTTGTTGTCTTAACTTAATTTTAATTTCTTATACCCTTTCCCAAAGCAGTGAATGGTTATTTTTATTTTCTTTAATTTCATCGCATTTGATAATTAAATTTCAAAGTTTTGTTTTGTACGTAATCAAATTTGGTTCGTAGTGTAAACATTTAAATAAAAAAAAACAAAATTACTATTTATAATTAGGACCATCAAAAAATATTTTTAAAAATCATAGTAGAAGATGCACAATACAAATAGTTCATTGTACACACAGTATAGTACTCGATTTTCGATTTAATGAATTGAAATATTTAGTATAAAACATATTATACCAGACTCATTGACTGAATAGATTGATCGTATAAAACCATGTTTGCATTATTTTAAATAGTATGGTCATACTACTCCAAACTAGTTCCGGAGGCGCTAGAAATAATTTGTACTAAAATGAAACATTGTTTTGCATAGAAAATCTTTGTATTAAAAATTTATATACTCATTTTGATAGTAAAAAGAAGAACTGTTCATTTCTAGTTTTTTCTCAAAGTCGTATTAATGGCACCAAGCTTTCTAAAACACCCATTTATAGTTCTGAGTTTAGGGGAAATGAAAATTACAAAATGATTCATCTACCTGTATCAATTTTTATTTGCTTTTTCTGCACAAAGACTACAAATGCCTCGTTTTACCTTTTTACTACAGTTGAACAGAAAACTAACTCAATTTATTTATATTTCTGGTGTTCAACCTACAAAATTGATAATAAAGCAATAATTAATAAATATAATTTATTGCTATTATGACATAAAATGTGCTAGACTGGTAAATATAAAAATAAATAATGAGAGCAATTTATTAAAAAAAAAAAAAACTACATTATATTGTCATTATACTACTTGTATGTACACATATATTGCAAATATAGCTTATTTCATAAAACACACGTGACTTTATAAAATTTTTTCATATACGTGTGTATTTGAGTATAATAATAAAACTTTATGACGTATAAAAGTTAATTTGCAATTCGATATTTACTTTAATTGCAATTATAATAAAAAAATTTTAAGGAATAATTTTTAATAATTTTTGCAGAAGGTGAATAAAAGAGTACAATTGAAAATCTATACGTTTTGTTTACATTAATTATAGTAACATCAGCATTTATACAACCTAAATTATATTTAATTTTCTTTCAAATTTATTATTGAAATTCATTTAATTTTATATAAAGCTAAAATCCATCAAATATTTTATTTGGATAGTGCATACATTGTATTGATTTTCAATTATTTCATACTCTATATTTTCATATTTTGTTTTTTGTCATTTAATCATAATATTTGCTCATAATTTTGTAAAAGTAAATTTCAATTAATAATTGATTTCTAGTTTTAAAATGCGGTAATATTTGTATCATAAGTACATGGGATCTTTAATTTGTTCAAATGTTATTGTTTAACATTAAAATTTTTAACACACATATTTAACGATTATTTTGGCAAAAATATAGCATTGTTACTATTCCAAAATCGTCTCACATATCTTGTATAAATTCTGTTACTAAATTCTACCAATATAATTGTATAAACTTAATGACTTTGAAAGTAAAATTTATTAAAATTTAAATCTGCATTTACAAGTTTGTAATAAAGGTTTCTATGACATTCAATTCAATTTGATTTTTGATTTAAACTGCTCTTAAAATTAATATGACAAAAAACTTAAATTTATTCTATAATTAGTACTGTAAATCTATATTTCTCTAACTTGTTACAAAATTATATTTATCATTTAAATATCAAATTACATCCATTTAATTTTATGCATTTTTATTTTTTGAATTTATTTCTTTCATAAATTTAAAATGTATTGTTAAAGTATTAATATATTCATCAATTATTTAATTGCTCTAAGTTTGCATGAACTCATTAAAACAAAGTTACATGTGCATTATATACCCATTTAGAGACAAAAACTCTATATTACAGATGGCTAGTCTATTTTATGATGAATATATTAATACTTTAACTTAAGTAACATCTTTTACTCAATAACATATTTTTTACTCAATAACAAAAATAGCTGACTATTTGAACTTAATTAAAAACTAAAGCTAATGTTCAAAAGGTTCTTTTCTTAAATTTAATGAATTTTTAAAATGTTATACATATTAATACAGATTTTTAATAAAATGAATAAAAAGAACTTTATAATTTAGTTAAAAACTTAAACAAAATCTAACAGTAATAATAAACAACAATAAAATGTATTCAAATATTTGGCACTAAAACTTTTTGATCATATTCTAGACTTTTTTGTTTTAATTCATTTTTAAATTCTTTTCCATAACAAAAATATAATAATTTACATTATTTTTCTTAAAATCGTTTTTCAGAAGTGCTATCTTTGAACTGAGTTTAAAATGTCCATTATACTATGCGTCCTACTAGTATTTTTATTTGTAGTTTATTGTAAATGGATACTACAAGTATATATGCTAAAATTTTTAAAGCAAAAACGTGAACGTAAGAAAAGTATATGGGATATACCAGGACCAATGATACTACCATTTTTTGGAACAAAATGGATATTCTTATGGAAATACAAAATATCAAAATTACATGAAGCTTATTTTGGTAATTATAAGTTTTAACAATATAACAATGATCAAAATTGATTACTTTAAAAAAATTCTTTAGAGTTAATTTAAACTATTCAATATAAATCATATGTAACATTTCCAATGACTTTCATAACCAACAAATAGTTTAATTTTTTGCATAATTTTATAATTTCATTTGAGTAAATTACAATATTAAAAATATTTTGATATAATTAAATTTAAAATTATATTCAATTAAAAACATTAACATTTCTTTTTTTAAGATTTTAATAAGCAGTATGGACAAATTGCCTTAGAAGTAACACCTTTCGGTACGCCAGTCATCCATATATTTGATAAAGATGATATTGAAAAAGTTTTACGTTATCCCAGTAAATATCCATTTAGACCACCAACTGAAATTGTAATGTATTACAGACAATCACGACCGGATCGATATTGCAGTATTGGAATTGTAAATGAGTGAGTATTATTAAAAAATTATTAAAGTTTTTAACATCGTAAAAGCAACTTTTTTATTAGGCTAAAATATAACACTTTTATTAATAAAGTAATTATTGAACTAAAAATAAGTTTTGCCAAAATAAAAAGGTTCATATTTTTTTTTCAATTATTAAACTTGTTAATCTTTTTCCTAAAAATAAAAAATCAATTTAAAATATTTATCCTTTTTAGTTTTTAAAATTCAATTTCAGACAGGGTGAAAAATGGCATAATTTAAGAAATAAACTAACACCTCATATTACTTCTCCGAAAATAATTCAAACGTTTTTGCCAGTTTTAAATTCAATATCTGATGATTTTATACAACTATTGAAAACGGAAAGAGATCACAAGACGTTTCTTTTAAAAGATTTCAATGACATTGCTAATTTAATGGGCCTTGAAGCAATATGTGCATTTGTTTTGGGTAGAAGAATGGGTTTCCTAACAAATTTAGAAAATCAACCGAAAGAAATTAATGATTTAGCAATGGCGGTTAAACAATTATTTGTTTCACAAAGGGATTCATATTTTGGAATGGGTTTATGGAAATATTTTCCAACTAAAACATATCAAAACTTCGAATTCAGTGAGGATACAATTTATTCGTAAGTTTTAAATTTAATAAAAAATATCTTATTATAATTTAAAATATATTTTTAGAGTTATTTCAAATTTAGTTAATAAGTCATTAGATGATGAGCAACTTGAATGTGATAGTGAAGATATCAAAAGCGTTTATATTAATATTTTAAGAACAGAAGATTTAGATATTAAAGAGAAAAAATCAGCAATTATTGATTTTATAGCAGCTGGTATTGAAACGGTAAAATTAATTACAGCATTTGAAATTAAATAAGATTTAAAAACAAATTAATTATTTAAATATTTTAAATAAAAAAATCTAGCTTATATTTAATTAAAAACAAATAATTTTAAAATTTCAAAATACATAATGAAAATGAAATATAGCTAATAGTAACTACATTTATATATATTTTTCATAATATTTTCATGTACATAATAGAAAATGAAAAATGTTTTTAATTTTGTTTCTTTTTTTTTTTGTGTTTATAATAAGATGAAAATCTTTTTTTTGATGTGAATCATTCGCTCTTGGCATTCACCGCGTGCCTTATGAAAAGTAAAAAACATACAGGCCTGCAGCTAACGCCAGGAGAAAACGTTAATGATAATATAATATGATTAACACTTTAAATATAGTATAAAGTAGTAGGAAATTTAAATAAAATATAAAATATAAAGAAATACATGTGCAAATATTCTTAAATAAATAAGTATATCAAAAAAGCTAATATATAGTAGAGAAAAGCTTGCAATATAAAAGAAATTAATTAAAAGATTTTATAATTTTAAATAGTAAATTTTAAAAAACTAAACCTAAATTTGGATTGCCAAATATATTTCAAAAATTATTCATGTATTGTTTATCGTTGAACCAAAATCCATTTTCGTTATTTAAACATTCATAATTCTTGCAAAGAGCAGCACACGGTGAACTCTCAAACCTAAAATTATATAAAAATTATACAATTATTATTGATTTATAAATATATTATTAAAGAAAATATATTTTTTTCAATTCGCAATCAAACACAATTAACATTTAAAGCAAACTGTTGACAATAGTTCGCTCTTGGCATTCACCGCGTGCCTTATGAATTTCAATTTTTAAATTATAACATACAGGCCTACGAGGTATGCCAGGAGAAAACGTATACTTTGAAAATAAAAGTTTATTAATATTGTACAGCTAAATCGATTTGACAAATTTTATTTATTTTCATAGATAATTTTAAAGAAAATCCATAAGCAGATTATGAAGAACACCTAAAATAAAAAAAATAATATATAATTAATAATTTAATTAATAATTTTATATTATAATATTTTAGATATTATCAAATATAGAATGAATTATTATATAATTATTTTATATATTATTATTTATTAATAATATTTTTTTTAAAAATAAAAATATAAAATTTTAGATGGCAAATACATTAATTTTTATGCTGTATCATATTACGAATCATTCGGATGCTTGTGAACGTATTATAAAGGAAATAAAGCAGTTCAAATCAAGTTCAGTATTGGAAATTGATTTAAATAAAGCAACATATACCAAAGCATGTTTAAAAGAAGTTTATCGTATACAACCGACAGCATTTTGTCTTGCAAGAGTTTTAGAAGAAAATATGTTTTTATCTGGTTATTACATACCATCTGGTGTAAGAACAATATTATATAATTATACGAATATTCGTAAATATATATAGTAACATAATACATGTTATATTTAAACATCAATTATATTCTTAATACATATTATTTGTATATATATTTTTACAGTCTGTGATTTTATGTCAAAATATGATTGCATGTCATAATGATGTATATTTCTCTGATGCAAAAAAATTCATACCAGATAGATGGTTAGATGAAACTAAATCAGAATATCAAATGATGAATTCAACGATTATAGCACCTTTTGGTGCTGGTAAACGTATGTGCCCTGGCAAAAGATTTGTTGAAATGGAAATTTTAATTCTTGTTGCAAAAGTATAAAAATATTTTTAAATATATTAAAATAAAATGATTTTTTAAAATTTGCATATTTTACAGTTACTCATAAATTTTGATATTCATTTTGAAAATGAATTGGAAACTGAATTTGAATTTTTATTGGTACCAAAAACACCAATTGATTTAATATTAAAGGATCGTGAGCTAAATTGAAATATAGAATAATTCAAATTTGTTTTTTTTTTATTAAAATAAATATATTAATTATTATTATTTTTATAAATGTGTATGTATGTATATTTAAATTTTAAAATTAAAAAAAATATATAATTATTAAGATTTTATTTAGCAAATATGTAATATATTTTAAATATACTTATATATTTTATATAACTATGTATTATTGTTATTTTATTTACTTTTAGTGTAATTAATATTATTATATTTTAAATGTTAATAAGAAATAAAATGTATTATAAACTCAAATAAAATTTAATTAAATCCAAATCTACATTCATATTAGTTTATAAAATTCTATACTTTTAAAATTTAATTATCTAAAATTAAATTGGGATCATAGAAATAATGGTATTTTTTCACTATCTTTATAAAATTATTTTTATATTTAAAAAAGGATTAATCATCCATTTTAACGATATTAAACAGAAATTTTATAAATTTTAAATAGTTTTATTATTAAAATATGATTTTATTTTAATAATATTTGATTGAGTACAAAATTTAATTAAACTTTGTTCTAAAATGTATTCATACATGATTACACAGTGAGTATATAGTATATGTACATATAATGTTTGAAATTCAATTTTAAGGATCATAAAATTTTTATATTTAAAAATTAACAATTTAAAAATTATCAATATATTCTATGTATGTACAAAGAAATTGAATATGAAAATGATAGGAAAAAACAGAAAAAGAAAAAAAAAGTAGGAAAATAATGCGCATGCGTTTTTTTTTTTTGAAGTTGCTAGGAGGGATGCAAGTTGTCACAGAGATTGTTGTATTCGTTTTAGAAAATTTTATTTCCAAAAAGGACGAAAAAAATATTTTTTGTACTTTTCTTCTTCCTTTTTTATGTTTAAAAAAAAAACCCTTGATGAATTTCCCGGGAAATAGCTACATTATATTCTGAGTAAAACATAAAAAGAAAAAGTACAACCATACTTCATTATAAACGAAGTAAACGAAATATGCAAAAATGCAATACTTATTAAGTTCTTTCATTTTGCTTTTTTTTTTTGTTTTCTGAGAACCATTTTCATTGTAAAGGTATTTTAAAAAATATTATTCAATCTTTATTACATTTATTTCACTTTCTTTTTATACATACACAATTTTTGAAAAATAAAAAGAAAAAATTAATTTAAAATGTAAGAATTATTTTTTTTTTTGTTAGATTTTTATATTTAAAAATTTTCAATTCTTATATTAGTATTTTTTTAATAGAACCTTTAAATTTCAAAAATTTTAATATTTAATTTAAAATGCTTTATTATTTAGAAGGCTATTATATTGAAAATTTCCTCTTATAAGTATTTTTAAAACTATATACATACAATGTTGAATGATAATTCACTAAGATAATCCATCTTTAAATGAATAAAAAAGTACTTAAGTAAAGTATATTGTATAATAAAAGCAACCAGTTGCCTACTAATATAGGTCATTAAAAATCTTTTTATAATTTTATCTCTACACCAGCACCACCATACATATACATATATATATAAAAATATATTGAAATAATGATAAAAAGGATATAAATTATCTCTATATAACTAGTATGCTATATGAAAATTATATATATAATATATAGGTAGGCAATAATTTTAATTTTCTTTCTAATATTTTATTAATTTGAAATTTTCGATTCAATATTTAAATTTCATAATTTATAAAATTTTAACTAAAAAAATCAGATAATAATTGAAAAAAAATGAAATTTTTAAGGCACTTTTTTTAAGTATCTGTAAAGACTATGATATTTTTTATAGCCAACATTTTTCTTATATGAGAAAAAAAATAAAAATGGAAAATCTAGCAAAAAAAGAAAAACAAAAAATTTTTCAATTTACTATAATATTTTACTTATGACGGTATGTGTTTACCTACATACATTTAAATTAATATCTACTTTTTACTTTTAACAGGTTGAATTTTTTTTTTTTTCAAAAATTGTAAGAATATTAAATGACTCTCTAAGTACCGAGAATTCGATAAAGGAAAGCACAAAACACACAAATGAAAAAAAAAAACAAATAAACTTAAAAACGGCTCCTAGTAAAATACACACTTATAAACAATATACGAAAATATATTTATGGAATTAAGTAAGTATAAAAATATAATTTTAAAACACATTAGGTATACATAAGCGTGTATCATATGTACGTACATACGAGTATAACATAGAACCACAATATTTTACACTAATGATAATTTAAATTCATATAACAGTATTTCAAATTTTTTTGTATATTATATTAACATGCATGTATACTTATTATATATATATATAAATATATAACAATATATTGTACACATTATTAAAGTATGCAAGTTCATCTATTAGATTTTATATTTAAATCATCAACATTATCATTATTATATTAAAAATATTCATTTTATTATTGAAAAAATCATATATATATATATATATATATATATATATATATATATATATATATATATATATATATATATATATGATTTATATACATATATATATATATATTACGATATAAATATTACGATATATATTTATATATATATATTTTTTATTTTCATGAAAAATTATTATTATATATTTTTTTGCTCAACAGATAAAAATGTTTTTTTAATAAACTTTGTAGCCAAAAAAAAAAAAAAACCCGAAATAATAAAACAAAAAAAAAAGCAAAAATGAAAAAACCGACAAGTAAGATTGATTTGTATAAAATTTATTGCAGGACTTATAAGAAAGGACTAAAATATTCTATACACACAAATATATTCAAAAAAAAAAAGTACACTCAAAAAAAAACGAAACAATAAAAAATTACTCTCAATATTTTTATAGTAATTTCAATTCTATAGAGCGTACATTTTTCATCAAAAGCAACGCATAAAAAATGAAAATTTGATTTACAAAAAACAACAAAACAAAAAAAAAATGAGAAAAGTGAAAAAATACAATTTCATTTCCATCTTAATAGAGCTCAGAAAAAAAAAAATACGATTGTGCGCAATCGTACAACAGACTCCTTGGGTCCATTCTCTATTCTTTATCTACTCTACAATGTAAAAAGTAACAGAGAAGAACAGAGCAGATAAATTATAATTATTATTAGTATTGATTATGATAAATGATAATAATTAATGATGATGATGAAATTGGTGATGTATGTAGTGATAATATTGAGATTAAAGAATTAACTAATAGATTTTCTAGTTAATACAACAAAAGAATGTATTGATTGACAAAAAAATTTAAAATTAAAAGCTTATGTAAAATAATTAAAATAAATATAATAAAATATTAATTAGCAAACTGATCAGTATATAAATATACAATATGTACAATAATCCTTGCAATTTTTATCTTAAAAAATAAACATATTAAAAGAGACCAATAATTTTGGCCATTTTCAAATCAGAAAACCAAATATATGTATGTAGTAAGTATATCGATAATCATTACAACTATTTTCTTTTATTTTATTCTCTTCTTTTTTTTTGTCTTATTTCCAATCTCCTTTTTCTCTTTCATCTTTACGTTTTTTTTTGTTTCTTTTTCATATTACTTCTCTTTTTTTTTTGGTTTTTGTTTCAAGGGTTTGCAGGTGGGGTCCTGTAATTGGGTAAAACACGGTAGCTGCTTACACATACTCGTTAAAAAACAAAAAAAAAAAAAAAACAGAAAAAATTACAAGGAATATAAAAAAAAAGAAGTAAAAAGAAGAAAATTCCTTAAAGCTACTATTTTGTAGTTTGCAACAAAATTTTTTGATGATGATGCCCTAAAAAAAAAAATAAGAAAATTCTTTGAAAAAGCAAAAAAGAAACGAAAAAAAAGAAAGAAAATTGGAAGTAGAATAATTTTCCAATTAAAATCACTTTTTTTTTATATACACATACTTAAATACACTTAATATGAAATTAAATGATTTGTTTTTTTTCTTTTATCTAATTATTCACATAGGTATAGAATATATTTATTATATTATATACATAATTTTAAATATATCTACAAAAACAAAAAATTACATTTACAAGGTAGGTAAACCTACCTCCCTATAGGAAAAATTAATTAGGATACACATAAATTTTATTTTACAATTTTTTTAATTTTATAATTTTGAGCAGATAAAAAAATTTTTTACCAAATAATAGAAAAATGAAATGAATAAAATATATAGAAAATTTTATTAAAAAAGGAGAGAAAATACAAATTAGATAGTATAAGTCTCTACATTTTAAAATATATGTATGTATACCTATAAAAAAAATCTATTTTGTTCTCTTTTACCTGTTGAAATTTTTTAGTTTCTCCATTTTAAATTAAAAAGTTTACTTAAATAGGTACATAGCATAAATTGCCATTTTTTATTGAAATTCTGAGTTTACTCTAATAATCTTATATATAATAATTAGTTTTGTAATTTAAATCCAACTCTGTTCCTCTACTGCAATAAGAGAAGGCTTATTTTATGTGAAATTTAATATTTTGGTCCTTAATTTTTTTTTTTTTTGAAATATTTAACTAGATACCTACTTATTATGAAATTTTTCTTAAAAATTATCTAATTTAATTGAAAATTTACTTTAAATTTTATTATTACATTTAATGATATTGTATAAGTTAAATTTTATGAGTAAGCGTATGTATCGCTCGTTCAGCCAGGACTAAAATGGAGTAAGAAAGTAAAATGATTTTGCAAGAATTCAGAATTTTTATTTTTACGTATTAAAAAATAATACGAAATTAGATTTAATAATTAAATCAAATTAATGTATTTAAAAATTAATTAATAAAATTTAGAAGTGAGGAAAAAATTATTTATGGCGCTTATAATACAAATGTAATATAGGTGTAAAAAAGAAAAGATCCTAGGTATTGTGTATAAAAAAAAATCCCAAAATAAAAATTTAATATCTGATAAATTCGTGGGTATACGTAGGTAGATAAGTTGGTAGATAGATATAAAATTTTAAACATCCAAAATTAACTTATAAAAATCAATAGAAAAATTATACTTATATAAAAAACGGATGCTTTCTCTTTTATTGTATA